ACAAAATTGGCAAAAACTCGAAATTTTTAAATAAAAATTTATTCTAAAAAAGCTAAGATTATACTTATACACTACTTAGTCTAATTTTTACAATAGGTTGCGAAGTGATCAAATTGTTATTTACACCCCCACGTGTCAACCCTTAAACTTTAAAAAAATCGTAACTCGAAAAGTATTCAGCCTAAAATTATGAAATTTATAACGTTGGTAGAGCTTAATGAGCCCTACCAAATAAATAAAAAATATGGGGGTGTTGTCGATCTTTATTTCGAGATAAAAAATTTTTGAATTTTGAAAATTTTAAAAATTTTAATAACTCCGCAACCACTAACCTTAAAATTATACTTGATACGGCGTTGAACTCGCCGCGTCGTGCCGCGTCGAATGAGCCGCCTCGCGCTGCCCTGGGGCCACTGGATCCAGGACCACGTGTCCACGTGGTTCCCGGTTTTTCTTCAATAACTCCGTGAGTTTCCACCGGAAAAATCCGGCCGAGGTGTCACAAGAAAGAGCTCAGCGAGCCCCGTCTGCAGATATAAAAATATCTATGGGTCACAGATCGCGTTTAGGCAGCGTTCACGCTCAAAGTTTTTAAAATTTTTAAATTTGCACTTTGCACTGTTTTTATTCACACTTAACGCGCTCAGCGCGAAAAACAGAAACTGTCACTAGCTGGGGCAACTATTCCCGCAACTTTTGGTGCATAAATTGCAAAAATCGGAGCACAAAAAACCACTTTTTTTCGATTTTTGAAACACAAAATCGGGCGGAGCGGCACTCGACCAACATGTAGCACGTTCACCTCAGAGTGCGTCTGACGACGGAAGCCCGGTTAGGTTAGGTTAGGTTAGGTTAGGTTAGGTTAGGTTAGGTTAGGTTAGGTTAGGTTAGGTTAGGTTAGGTTAGGTTAGGTTAGGTTAGGTTAGGTTAGGTTAGGTTAGGTTAGGTTAGGTTAGGTTAGGTTAGGTTAGGTTAGGTTAGGTTAGGTTAGGTTAGGTTAGGTTAGGTTAGGTTAGGTTAGGTTAGGTTAGGTTAGGTTAGGTTAGGTTAGGTTAGGTTAGGTTAGGTTAGGTTAGGTTAGGTTAGGTTAGGTTAGGTTAGGTTTTTTTTTTTTCCCCACAAATATCATCACTTTTGTGGGAGTTGGCAATGTTTTTCATTTGTCGTTCTGCTATTTGATACAGAACATTTGTGCGCTGTGGGAATTCTTGGAGATGTTTTATAAATATTTTTTTTACATGTTTTGAGTTCAAAATTATTCTGTTCCGTTAAATTTCTTGAGACTTTTTATTATACTATTAATATGGTGTAGAAACGTTTCAAATGTGCTTTCCTTTTTAATAATTTCTTCAATGGAGAAGGGTTGTACTTTAAAATTGGCGCAAGATATCGTATGGGTTAGACGTGTAGCTTGGAATTTTGGACAATCATTAAGTAAATGGAAAATTGACTGTACTGCAGTGTCGTCGCAAGGGCATGTGTTATTTTCCACTATTTTAAATCTATGAAGGTACTCTTTGTGGTAGCCGTGACCTGTAAGAATTTGTGTTAGTGTGAATGAGTGCTTGGTGACTTGGTATAATTCTTGTATGTGTGTAAGTGTAGGGAGCTATTTTCTGGTTATTTCACCTTTCATGTTATCTTGGTAAAATTGTTCGGAAGCTACTTTACTATCTTGTTGAGCAAGTTTTCTTACGAAGCTAATTGGAAATTTTATGAGAATAGGGACGTTATGGCTTGTGGCTGCAGCTTTGGCTGCCAGGTCAGCAGCTTCGTTACCAGCTATACCTGTGTGGGCTTTGACCCAAATGAAATTAACTGATAAGCTGTGGTTGTCTAGCATTCTGTGGATGTTGGTAACTATTTGGTTTGTACTATTGGGGTTACCGATTTCTTGTAGTCCAGATTTGCTGTCAGTCAGAATAGCTGCATTCGGAATGTGTTTATCTGCAAGCCACACACAAGCTTGTTCTATGGCTTTCAACTCAGCTTGAAACACCGAGCAAGAACTATGGAGTTTTAGTTTTCTAGTTATAATTTTACCATTGGGGCAATATACAACAAAAGCTCCCCCAACCTTTTCGTCGTGTCTACTACCATCTGTGTAGATGTGATGAGTGTTTTCGAGGAGAATCTGATTGACTTCTTGAGCGTTATTGGCTTCTTGGTAATGGATAATTTTGCGACGAGATGGATGTAATCGTTCTTCTGGTTTCGATGGTGTGTCTAAACTAATGTCTGTTGGAAGATATTTGCTTGTGCCTGTTAGTTTCGTTGTTTCGATGATTACCAGTTCATTAATTTTAATGTGTATAGGAGTCAGCCTTGCCAGTGCTATTGCATTGATGGTATTTACGGTTCTAAAACCTTTAATTATTTTTATAGCAAAACCACGTTGCAGGGATAGCAGCTTGTCTCTTACATGTTTATATTTTAATGCCGAGTGCCATATGCTGGGCGCGTAACAGATAATTGGTTCAATAACATTTTTATATATAATCTCAATATTTTCGGATTGTATTCCCCAAGTAGGTCGGATATATTTTAATAATTTGTTATATATACTTCTTGTTTTGACCAATATATGATGAACATGTTGAATGAATTTTAGTTTTTTATCTATAATGATGCCTAGAATTTTTATATAATTTTCCAATTTGATGGGAGTGCCAGATACTGATATTTTTAATTTCTCAGCTTTACCTGTGAAGGCAATTGCTTGGGTTTTCTGAGGCCCAAATTTTAATTTGACTGACTCTCCCCAAATGGTGATTATATGGAGTGCCTTATTAATTATTTCCTGTAACTTTAAGGGGTCTTTGTCGTGAGCAATGAGCGTAACGTCATCAGCAAAGGCTTGAATATGACATCCTTCGGGCAAGTCCTTTTCAAGTAATTCATCCAAGATCAGGTTCCAAAATGTCGGTCCGCAAACTGAACCTTGGATGCATCCTCTACTCATGGCTTTGTTGGCACTGCTGCTTGAGAAATTTATGCTAACTGTTCGCTCGTTGAGGTAGTTTGTTATTAGTTTGTATATATTCTTGGGGCAATTAATTATGTGGAGTCTACGCAAAATAGCGGGCCACCAGGCATTGTCAAATGCCGCCTGAATATCCAAAGAGACAGCGGCAACTTGATCTCCCTTGATTTTACAATTTCTAACAAATGTAATCATATTATTAAGTGCTTCTGTCGTTGACCTTTGTTCCTTGAACCCATATTGTTTACTATTGAATTTGTTGTTAGTGTAAATAAAATGATTTAGTCGTTTGATGACCAACTTTTCAAGGAGTTTACCAAAAACATTAAGCAGTCCGATGGGGCGATAAGCTGAGATTTCAGTATAGTCAAGTTTGTTGGGCTTAGGAATAATAATTACTTGCGCATGTTTCCACTGTCTAGGGAATATTGATAAAGCTAGGCATCTATTCATGATATTCGTTATTAGTTCTGGGAATGTTTGAGTGAAACAGAAGCATATGTCGGAGGTAAGGTGATCTGGTCCAGGTGATTTTCGAGGGTTCATATCCTTGAGGTTATGGAGGACTTCATCAATAGTAAATGGAGGATCATCATTTGTATTCGGTGGAAATTTTATGGTTTGTCGGGTGACGGTTTGGGAACTATATGTGTCAATGGTGTCCTCTGGATAAAATTTTTGAAGAAATATATGGGCTGTTTCTTCAGAAGAAGTAGTATATTTGTTTGGTGCTATTTTGAGGGTGGAAGGTGGTAGGGTTGGGATTGAATTCTTCAGCAATCTATTTGTAACTGACCACACATCTTCCTTACCTTGTTTGTTGCAGAATTCACGGAAGTTTTCAGTTGAGGCCTTTCTGATTGCTTCGGCGTATTCCTTTCGGAGTTGGGTCTTGTTTGTAATTGCTTCGTTCATTGGAAGACGTTTTCGACTAAGTTTTTGAAGCAGGTGATGGTTGTCAAGAACTTTTCTTTTTAATTTTTCTAAGTCTTCGGTCCACCAAGAAGGGCGCTCAGGACGAATAGAAGAGTGGGGAAGATACTTTTTACAAATTTTGTGAATAAACGCGGTTATTTCATCAATAAAGTGTAGTAAGTTATTTGGATCTAAGGATAGGATGTCAATTTTGTTAAGTTGGGTCAGTTCAATTTCTCTGGAAAAGGCTTCGCTTAGTTTTTCCCATTGCTTAAAATTATTAGTATTATATTGGTAAGTCGATTTTTTCTTATTCTGACGGATATGATTTTTATTAAGGAAATATTCAAATTTGATACCATGGTGATTAGAGGAGGGACATATAGAATTATCTATTTGCCAATTAATAATATGATTCGAGATTGAGGATGAAGTTATGGTGAGATCAACGATGGAACCACGTAGAATTCCATCCGCTGTAGTTTCATATGTATGATCTGTGCCAGTATTATTGATGGTAAGATTGTGAGGAATAATAATATCAACTATTTCTTTACCTCTTTTATTCGCTGTGGGAGATCCCCAAAGTTGGTGCCAGCCATTTAGGTCTCCCGCGATAATATGAATGGCGTCTCCTGTTTCAATTATAAATTGTTCCAAGTGGTTCAATGTTTCATTTTCATCGTCTTTGGGCTCTACGTAAATGCTAGTTAGAAATATTCTTTTCCCAGAAGTGATGAGCTGTACTATACATAAATTTGGCGTTGAATATTTTGAAATCCCGAGGCAGCTGCCAAGACCTTCTTTAATCAGAATGCTAGCCTTTACATGACGGTTATGAGGAAATTGGTATGTTGTGTAGCCGGGTGTTTTGTTCATAATTGTATTATTTCCGATATATGGTTCATTTATAAAGACTACTTGTACACTATTTGAGCGACAATATGCTAATAATTCTTGTTGGGCATTATATCCTCGGCCCAAATTGCATTGGATGAATCTAATGCCATTATTAGACGTTTTATTGCAATTATTATTGAGATGTATTTTATTGCTCTGTTCAGATATGTTACTCTTTCTCTGATACTTATTCATTTGGTGATTAGTTTGTAAGTCCATAATCAGTAGATTCCTCTAATTTCTTTTTAATAGAGATGATTCTAGGGCACAGTTTTACATTTGTTGCATTATGTCTAATGTCGGCATTGGCGTTGGTCTTCAAATTATGTTTGTGGCAGTTGTAGCACTTTCGTTTTTCGTCAGAGGTTCTGTTTGGGCAGTCCATAATATTGTGGTCTTCTGAGGCACAAAACGCGCATGGGTGAATTGTTATGGCACATTTCGTTTTTGTATGTCCAAATTGTAAACACAGATGGCATTGAACAAATCTCGAGAAAGGCCCGACAAACACTCGTTGATGATTAATGGCTACTCGTCCGTATGTGGTAATAGTTGTGTAGTATTTAGGTGTCACTTCCAAAACTGCATTGTATAAAGCGTTATTCTTATTTGAAGTAAGGAAACAAAGACGTAATGCGTCCTCAGGGATCGAATTTTGGTAGGAAATAATTTCAATTAGTTCTTCTTTTGCCGTTTCTTTTGTAATTCCTTTAAGAATAATGAGAGGACTTCTATTTTTGGACTCTTCGGCTTGTAACCCTTCTACCTGATTAGTATTGGTAATGGCTTCCCCGCATTGCTTGTAGTTTTCAAACTCTACGCGAATTTTCCCATTTGATATTGTTTGCATTTTAACAGGTGCATATTTTTCTTTCTTAAATGAAATGTTCTTTTTCCAGGTAGCGAGAATGTCGGAAGATTTTGCTGTAGGGTTTGTAGATTTGATAACAATTGCTGGTTTTTTTGGGGCAATAGATGCCACTTCCGCGTATGTAGGGCCAGGCGCATTGGAAGTGGGAGTTAGCACTTCTTTAAGCTTTTTGATTTCCTCTCTAACGCTGGTTAAAATATCATTTTTCAAAGACTGTTCCTCGACATGTGAAGCTTTCGCTGATAGTACAGTGGAAAGGCTGTTTGAGGCTCTTCGGATTTCTTCAGCTGCCAGATTTATAAGGCGTTTGTTAACAGCTGTGACGCTTTTTCCCTCGTTTACCGCGTTAGAGATACATGTGGTCAACTGATTGATAACTTCTATGTATGTGTCAAGATTTTTTATATTACTAACGTCGCAAGGAAGTCGTGGTATTTAGCATCTGGTTTACCGCGTTTTGCTTCATACAAATATGCAGCTTCGCGTAACCTTAAATCTAAAGGTAGTAGTCCTGAGAGTATCAATGCTGCGTTTAGTGAGACCGTGCGATATGATTTACAAATTTTTTGTGCAAATCCCCTCTGCACTGCGTTTAGCTGGTTTTTGATTGCTATTTTGTGGGCAGCTGGTGCCCAAACGCTTGCGGCATACATTATAACTGGTTCAATAACTGATACGTAAATCGTTCTGATCACCTCGGGTTTAAGCCCCCATGAAATTTTTGCTGCACGAGCCAGTAATTTATAAATATTTATGGATTTTTGACAAATATAGGAAACATGACTATTAAATTTCAATTTTTTATCGATGATTAGGCCTAATATTTTTATCTCATCTACTAGTTTTATTTCTTTACCTCCCATGAACAATTGCGGGGTTTCATACTTCAATTTATTTGTTACTATCATACCATAAGTTTTTTGTGGGGCAAATTTTAATTTATTTTTTGATCCCCATTCATATATGTATGAAAGAGTTTCATCTACATTTATTTTAATATCGCTTGTCACGTGACCTGAGAAGATCAGAACGATATCGTCGGCGAAGGCTTGGCAATACACTCCACGCTCTTCTAGTTCATTTAGCAACGGATCCAATAGCAAATTCCAAAATATGGGACCACCAATCGAGCCTTGAATGCACCCTTTTGTATTATTTTTTGTAAATTCTTCGTTCGCATATCTAACTGTAACTTTCCTATCTGTAAAATAACTATTTACTAATCTACGTAGATTCACAGGACACTTTATCTCCATCAGTCTATTTTTAATAGCAGGCCACCACGCGCTGTCGAAGGCCCCCTCTATGTCTAAGGATATTACAATACTTATTTCCTTATTTCTCAGATTGTTCTTGATGTGTAATATCAAGTCATAGAGGGAGTCCTCCGTACAGCGCTGTGGGACGAACCCATACTGACGGGGATTTAATTTTGGCAAAATGTAATATTTTAGTCTTCTCACCATCATCTTTTCTAGGATCTTACCCATGACAGAGAGGAGCCCTATCGGCCTATATGATTTCGCGAGAGAGTAATCCGTTTTTCCCGGTTTTCTAAGTGCTAACACAGTAGCTTCCTTCCATGGATCCGGAAAGTATGATAATTCTAAGCACTTGTTCAACAAGGCTAAGAATATCTGCTTATCAACGTTTATCGCCGCGGCACAGATGTCCGCTGTGAGGCCATCTGAACCTGGCGCCTTCCTTGGATGGAAGCTGCTGGTAGCAAATTGTAATTCGGTTGCTGTAAATGGAACATCCCAAATATCATCTGTAGTTTGAGTGCACATTCTGTTAGCTTTCATTCGTGTATGATATTGTTCTGGTATTTCGTTTTCCAAATTGTCATCGAGGAAAAATGTCTCCGCCATATGTTTCACTGATTCCTCTGCATCCAACGATTTACCTTCCCTAATTAACAGTATGTCCTCGTGTCTTTTTGATGTTTTCCTGATTACTCTATAGATCCCGTCTCATAGACTTTCCCTATCCTGCTTACCGCAAAACTTTTTCCAACTGTTGATTTGTGCTTGTGCTACTTCTTCTTCATATTTATTTTTTATCTCCAAATATTGTTCTACTACGTAGCGCCGACGGCGAGAGGCAGCATACGATATTCTTCTTTTCTTCACTGTCATTTCTTTTTTTTAACTTATTAAGCTCTTCTGTCCACCACGGTATAGTAATTTTATTTCTAGTTTTAATTTTTGGGATATTCGAATCACTTACTTCCTTAACACATTCTATATATGTATTAATTGTAGTTTTTAGTTTTTCCTTTGATTTTAGTTCTGTTATCTCTTCTTCACTAATATTTTTCATTTTAAGTGTTTCACATAGTTTATTTTTAAAATCTGTCCATTTCGCCCTTTTTAGTATTATATATTCTAGTACTTTTAAAATTATTATTTTCCGTAGGTTTTAACAATGCTAGTTTAAATGTTATACAGTTGTGGTCAGAACTTATAATAGCTTTATTTACTCTCCAATCCTTCACTTTACTTAATAAATTTTCGCTACTGATTGTTACGTCTACTATACTCTGATAGATATTCCCACCCCTAATAGTATCAAATGTGGGTTCATTTCCTTCATTTAATATGTGCATACCTGTATCCTCTATCATTCCTGCCAATTCCTCTCCCCTATGATCTTCCCTAGCACTTCCCCACCACGTACTCCATGCATTGAAATCACCTCCTATTAGTACGTGTTTTGTTTTTAGTTTTCCAATGATAGTTTTCAGTTGTGCGAGATAGGGTTCGATAGGTAAACTGTCCTCAAAATAGACCGATATGACTCCTAATTCCCACTTATTCGTTTTTAATTGAGCCACTGCTATATTCTCCGTTACGAGTGTTGGATCCTCTATGACAATAATATTTTGATCAAAAACTATTACTGCTGCCTTTACAGGTTTAGTTCTGTTTCTTGTACACTGAATTACTTTTGTCCCTTTTTCTTGTTTAAGTTCCCCCTAATGCTCCAATATATGGTTCCTGTACCAAAGCGATATTAATTTTTCTTTGTTCTGCTTCTATCATTAACTCTTTAGTTGCTAATTTCTTCCTCTGGAGATTTGCTTGTATAATACGGTAGTCCTGTGGATTTCTTAATGATTCTTCATCACTGGTGGTCCCATAATTCGTTGTATCGATTTCAGCAATACGCTACACTCGATCTCGCGATCGCGTCCCATTTCCTTCGGATAGGGCAACTGTCGTCAAATGCATTGTGGTCTGCCCTTTCGCTTTTTGCGTGCAAACAATTGCGACATGTCGGTGGTTCTTTTACTGCCCATAATGGACAGTCGTCCTTAACATGGGGTCCGGCACAATGGCTGCATAAATCCTGTGTCTCTTTACAGAATTTCTTTCCGTGACCGTACCCCAGACACCGCGTACACTGTACCAACGGTGATTGGTCTCTTACTATTACACGTTGCAAGTCAATGTGGACTTTTTCCACTGTTGTCAGTCTCTGCCACACTTTTGGGGATACTTGAATTACAACATGATTAATATGCGGATTCCTAGCTTTTTTCCGATATTTAATTGCTGCTCTGTATTGATCATCTGGTATATCGGATAGGAGTTGCTTATTCTGGTTTTTCAGAGCTGCTAGAATATCTTCGTCTTTATTTAAAGATAGAACATCTCTCATAATTATCAGAGGGTCTTTATTCTCGACTTCTTGTACTAGCAATTTTGAGGATGCTCTTTTGATTCTTTCCGCAATTTTTTGAACTTCGTCATGTGTCTGGCATCCCACTATTACCTTTTGATCCCTGGCCTTCCGTAGTTTATTCACTCTCAACCCAGTGATTTTAGCGTCAATTGCTGTTCTAATTTTATTTATTATATCTCCGCTAGTGTCTTGTTCTTCTTCAGACGATACCAGAACTGAGTGCATTGGAGCCATCATTTTACTGTTTATTTTGGCCTTAGGTCGACCAGCTATGCTGGCATATGTGGGTTCATTTGTTTCGCTTATAACCAAAGACTCTCGAAGTCCACCCATTTGGTCTTTTAGGGATGATAATTCTTCTTTTATTTCCATCAGTTCCCTTCTGGTATCCTCCGATTTGCCCATAAAAGTATGTTTATCCAATAAGGTGTCATTGCCCATCGTGTGCTTCAATGAGTCCGTTAGGGTTCTCATATCACTCACTGTTTCGGTGAGAGCAGACTGAATATCTCTTATACTACCCTGATCCATTAGTGCTCTAAGGCTCTCTACATACTGTTTTTCTTGCCTAAGTAGATCGTCTTTAAGTTGTATACGAGCTTTCTCCAATTGTAGGAGTAGAGTCTGCCTTTCTTCGTTTAACTGTAATACGATTCCAAAAAGTTCAGAAAGGTTATTTACCACCGTCTCTTTTATGGAAGTCTTTAAGTTTCCAGACTGCTCTAGCTGCAACTTAGCGTCCTGATATAATCTATTGGCCTTAGACGTCGCTGTTACAGCTATTTCTAGTACATCGGATTTCCGAGTGTGTATTTCTTTTGGTTTCTCTTTGGTTGCAATATTCTGTGAAGTGGGACGTTTCCGCTGCTCTTCGAACATATTTACGTTACCTGGCACTGAACTCATTTTAATTTTTTGTAAATAAGAGACTTTTGTAAATTTATATATATGAATCTACCTTAGTAATGAAAACAGGGTGGGTGGGAGGGCGAAATTTTGCTAATTTCTACGTTTATTGTTGCAGATTTTGGCTGATACGGCGGTTGTGGAGTAAGGTGGACCTCGGTATCTAACTTTCTTAAAATTTTGCTAATTTCTACGTTTATTGTTGCAGATTTTGGCTGATACGGCGGTTGTGGAGTAAGGTGGACCTCGGTATCTAACTTTCTTAAAATTTTGCTAATTTCTACATTTATTGTTGCAGATTTTGGCTGATACGGCGGTTGTGGAGTAAGGTGGACCTCGGTATCTAACTTTCTTAAAATTTTGCTAATTTCTACGTTTATTGTTGCAGATTTTGGCTGATACGGCGGTTGTGGAGTAAGGTGGACCTGATAGGAGCAAAAACGGAAGAGATTTGTAAGATTTTAATATAGACGAAAAATTTTGATATATTACGTTTCTCAAAAACAATAATTTTTAATTTAAATTAGAAATATCGCCCGAAATGGCTTGAAAACACAGTAAACTAATAAGACTAAACTAATTAAATATTTCAGGGCAGCCAGGGAATTTTTACAATGTTTTTATGCAAAGTTAGTAAGGTGTGGTTAGGTTAGGTTAGGTTAGGTTAGGTTAGGTTAGGTTAGGTTAGGTTAGGTTAGGTTAGGTTAGGTTAGGTTAGGTTAGGTTAGGTTAGGTTAGGTTAGGTTAGGTTAGGTTAGGTTAGGTTAGGTTAGGTTAGGTTAGGTTAGGTTAGGTTAGGTTAGGTTGGGTTAGGTTGGGTTAGGTTAGGTTGGGTTAGGTTAGGTTAGGTTAGGTTAGGTTAGGTTAGGTTAGGTTAGGTTAGGTTAGGTTAGGTTAGGTTAGGTTAGGTTAGGTTAGGTTAGGTTAGGTTAGGTTAGGTTAGGTTAGGTTAGGTTAGGTTAGGTTAGGTTAGGTTTTTTTTTTTTTTTTTTTTTTTTTTCGCTTTTCCCCGATCCTGAGAACACCGGGACCTTATTAATCTATATTACTCATACATTCCAGTTCTCGCATATATTCACACTTTCAAGCCGCATACTTGGTCTTTCTTTTATTCATCCACACTCATTCTTTGCCGGGTGGGACTCCCGCTACTCTATGCCTAATTTTTATTTCGGTTGGGAAAATAAAGTTTCTTACATTTTATTTATTTTCTGATATATCTTCAATGATATATACTCCTTATATAATATTTAAACTTACAAATTTCCACACTACACCTTATATACTAATTTTTATTTAAATTACAAATTCCCTTAATATACCTATTTAATGGCTTACATCTATTGTACTTATCATTTTATTTCTTAATTCCTACAGCTTTTCTTAATTCTATTTTTACATTTATAAATCTAACATGAATTAAAAACAAAAATCTACTGTTCTCTATCGTCTTATTTAACATTATTGATTGCAATTTCTTAGTTATTCTTATATTTATTGTTTGTACAGCAGTATGAACTTAGATCTATTTAGTTTTGATATTGGCAGTTTTGCCACATCTTTACAGTTTGGTATTTGTCAAGATTGGTGAGTTCTCTCATGTGTCTAGTTTTATACATCCTTCTATATTACAGTCACGCTTTCCTAGGCAATATAATATATATACTAAATTTATATATATATATATGACTATTTCTTTTGCTAGTTTTTATTTCCTGTTGTTTTTTCTTTGTTTTGTGTTAGTGTTGTGATTCATGTAAGTGTTATTGTTCTGATATAATCGTGTATATTCAATATACATTCTGTATATCAGTTTGTGTTCGTATTGTCGTGTATTTTATGCTTGTATGTGTGGTGTTTATGTTCTTGTGTGCTTTGTGGGTGTTTGTGCGTGTAGTGCAGTTTGTCGTGAATGGTTCAGGCATAGGCCGTATTTGCGCGAGCCAGGTAATCCCACCTTTTCCGTACCGGGCATTCAGCACTAAATGCATTGTGGTCGGTCTTCCGCAACCCAGAGTGTGAGCAGTTGCAGCACTGTGGTTCGTTACCTGCGGTAAAGTCTGCGCATTTCTCGCGCAGATGCGGTCCTCCACAGTGACTACATCTGTCCACACTCTCGGTGCAAAATTTCCGACCATGTCCGTATGCAAGGCATTTCGTGCATTGGATGAGCGGAGACTGGTCCTCGACTCTGACCCTTTGTAGGTCTAGATAGAGAGCTCCAGCCTCCGTCATCCTCTGCCAAACATTAGGCTTCACCTGCAGGATGATGTGCACTGTCTTCGGGTTTCTTGTCCGCTTTTTAAATTTAACTGTCATTTCTAGGTCCTCTTCCGTAAGACCAAGGAACACATCTTTATTCTGGGCGTATAGCGCCTTAATTATTTCTTCGTCTTCACTTTCCATAAAAACATCTTTCAAGATGACAAGAGGATTCTTATTTTTTATAGGCGCTACTACTAGTCCATCCCCGCGACTCTCTATTATTTTTTGGACTTTCGTCCTCTCCTCTTCTGTGTCGCAACCCAATATAATTTTTTGGTTTTTGGCCTTACGAACCTTGTTTATTTTAAGGCCAGTACCTCTAGCGTCAACCGCTTTTTTCACCCTGGCGAGCACCTCGTCCGCAGTCTCCAGACCACCTTCGAGGGTGACCGCCATTGAGTGAAGTGCAGGGCGGTGGACAGGTTTGGCTGCCGCGACGCTGGCATATGACTTAAGGACTGGTGCTGCGTTTATTTCGCATGCCAGTCCTTTTGTGACTTCCAAAAGATCTTTTTTGGCTGCGATGACATCATCGGCAATACCACCGATCAGATCTTTAACCAGGGCGTGCGTTCGACTCTCGACCTTCTCGGTCGTTTCGTCTATGGCAGCCCTGGCTTCATCGATCCTATCGGTGATCTTGTCGATCATGTCAGAGCCTCGGTCGTCATTACTATTATGGAGTGCCTCTATGTCTGTTTTCAGACTTCGCTCCATTTCTTTTATATGCTCTGTCAGCGTCGCTTCCACCTCTCCCAGTTTGTCAATAATGAAATCCTGCCCTTCGGACGACAAGGTTTTTGTTGGTGATCTTATTTTTAAGGCCTCTGCTTCCAGTCTTTGTATGCGACCGCTGAGCTCGAATATTGCTCTGATGCCCTTGTCAGACTGCACCTCCAGGAATTGTTTAATATCTTTCCTCATCTGAGGATACTCCTGGACCTTCGAGGGTATATCCTCGAAGGTTTTCATCATCTCCTGGAGGAGCTGTTCACTCGACAATGCAGCGTAGTTATGTTTTTGCTTTTTGTAAATTTCCATATTGTCGAGCGATCTTCTTTTAGTCTCCGGTCTTTTAATGAAAGTCCTGGCTGCATCCTGTGCTGCTGCGGTTGTGGTGGCAGGGCTGGGGGTGGTGGGCTTTTTGGCAGCGCCAGAGGTCGTGGGTGTGCGATACATGGTTATGTGTGAATGTATGAGTGCGGTGTATAGTGTAAGTTATGAGTGGATCGGGGAACGTTGTCCCTATGTAAAACCCTGTAAAGGGGGGTCTGTATGTAAAATATTTGTTAGACCCTGTAAAGGGGGGTCTGTGTCACCTATGAAATAAAAACTGGTCAAAACTAAAATAATAAAATAGGGTAGAGTCCCGCTCTACCAAGTTATTTTTACCGTTACAAAGGTAAAAGGGCTTGAGATAGGGCTTAGGAGCCTTTAGGAGCCAATTTTTGTCAAAATTACAATTCAAGAAAGTCAAAAATTTATGACTCTACCTAGAGTCTATCCAAGTAATTGTAGTAATAGATCTCTCCGAGCCCTTTCGTTTGAACCCAAACACGACTGTGCCAGCCCTAGGGGTCCCGCAGGAACGGCAGTCCAAACTTCTGGTCACCAATCCAAGATGGCCACCAGAATCCGGTTACAAGCGGTTTCTCCGTGACCACCCCTCCGAAACCTGCCGTGCTTGGGGTCTTCCGACCCGGCTCGATGAGCTCTATAATTTGATGAGTGTTAAAACTGAAAAATTTTCAGGCCCTGAAAACTCCTGAAGGGTTACTAGGGGAATAGGGGAGATGCTGCATTGGCCCCCAGAGAAAACCAGAGCCTTCTACGACCTCCGGTTCGGGTACTATCAGCGTCTGAAGTTTGGTCTGACAGTTCAAGAACTGTCAAATCAATCTCCGACCCCGGACAATTTTCCTTCCAGTGGTCGTAGAACACCCGTGTTTGGTCTCAATTGGCTTGTTTTGACTTGCTCTATCGCTTCAGGTGCTGTTCGAGGACCCGAATCCCCTCGGCACCAAAATGCTTGAAAAGGAGTGAGGCGGATGGAGACCGTCACCCTGAACTCCACTAAGAAAACCCCAACTCGCTACGACTCCTAGATCCTAAATTATGTCAAATTTAAAATTTTTAAAATGGCCGCCAATTCAGACCACTATAAGTTATTTCAGGCGGCTCTCAACCAATTTGGACCGTGTTTGGGCTCATTTAAAAGGTCTCGGTGTCAAGATAACAGATAATTAAGTGTATTAGCGTTTTAAGTCCCCTTTGTATTAATTTTTGACAAAAGTTTTAAAATTTTTACAAAATTTTGATTTTTATAGCCAATTTTAGGTTTAAAATTCTATGAAAAATTTCTGTACAATACTAGAGGTATCCTTAATTTATATACACATTTTTATACCTAAAAAACGTTATAATAGGGTAACACGTGGTTAACAAATTTATTTAAAAAATCCTAATTAAAAAACTATCCACAATAAAAATCTGAAAAATTTTATATAACTTTCTAATATTAACCTTAACACTATTTAATTATAAAAACTAGGTGTCATCGATTTAGATTTTAAAATATTTAATTTTGAAATTTTTACTAAATTTTAAAGTTCAATATTTCCGCAGCCACTTAACTTATTAAAATTCCGAAAGTTGCTCCCGGCTCCCCTCCACGCTGGCTACCAGAATGCGACTTCAAAAGTAGCCGCACGATTCTCCTTCTCGAAACACGTGCCCACGTGGTACTTGTTTTTTTGGCTTTTTCTCCGAGACTATGGCTCAGAAAATTTCCAAATTTCTAGCACATGTAGGGGCCGTGTGTAGGTACAAGGCCGCACTTTAAAAAACTAGGGTTACAGCACTTAAACACTCAGCGTTTCACTTTGAAAATTTGAAATTTCCGAAATTTCACTTTTTTCACTGTAACTTTTTCACTTTTACTCCGATTTAAAAACAATTTGTACGACTATAAGCCGCAAGTTAAGCCGCTTCTTTTGGTGTATAACACACAAAAATCGGACGTAAAAAACCTACTAAAACGAATTTTTAAGCGCGGAGCAACTCAGAAACGTGGCGTTCGGGACGGCAGTTGACACCGGACTGGGTTAGGTTAGGTTAGGTTAGGTTAGGTTAGGTTAGGTTAGGTTAGGTTAGGTTAGGTTAGGTTAGGTTAGGTTAGGTTAGGTTAGGTTAGGTTAGGTTAGGTTAGGTTAGGTTAGGTTAGGTTAGGTTAGGTTAGGTTAGGTTAGGTTAGGTTAGGTTAGGTTAGGTTAGGTTAGGTTAGGTTAGGTTAGGTTAGGTTAGGTTAGGTTAGGTTAGGTTAGGTTAGGTTAGGTTAGGTTAGGTTAGGTTAGGTTAGGTTAGGTTAGGTTAGGTTAGGTTAGGTTAGGTTAGGTTAGGTTAGGTTAGGTTAGGTTTTTTTTTTTTTTTTTTTTTTTTTTTTTTTTTCTAGATCCCCTGACATGAGAACTCAGGGACTTTTTCTTCAGTAGGTGTTTTTCTTTTTTCACCTTTAAGTGTATTTTCTTTTTTTTTTTATTTGTTTTTAATTCACTACTATCTATATAACATTATTTCTTTTACAATTGCTTTTTATTTACATTAAATTCGAGTTCTTATTACTAAATGTCTTTGTAATAAGGGCACGGCCACTACATGATCGGCCGGAATTGCGAATGGGATACAATTCCTTTTGCCTAGCATGTTTCAGTTTAAGTCTATTACTTTTGTGATTCACAATTTTAATTAGAACTCATTTATTTTAAATATTTTTTACTATGTACTGTTGAATGATTTCAGTTTATCGATTATGTAACTAGCATACTTCACAAACGATATTATTGCACCTTCTTTTGTTACAAGCTCCTGTATGTTGTATGGAGAGACTTTAAGCATCTGACAGTGTAATTCATGTTCCATGCGCTGTGCACCAAATCTGGGACAGCTTTTCAAAAGGTGGTCAATATTTTGTACACTATGGTTATTGCAAGGGCATGTGTCTGTGTTTGAAATCTTAAATCTATATAAATATTCTCTGTGGAAACCATGACCTGTGAGAATTTGGGTTAATTTAAAGTCAATTTTTGTTGTTTGCCAAAGTCGTTTAATGGAAAACAGGTCCGGTAAGAGCTCTTTTGTATGTTTCCCTTGTGGTGCACTGTGATATCGGTTTTGCCATTTATAGAGGTTGTCTTTTTTTATTTTTGCTTTAACAAAGCTTATGGGAAATTTTGTATAATCAAAATTTTTCTTTAAGTTGGCTGCGCGTTTTTGCAGCTGCATCAGCTGCTTCATTTCCGGCACAGCCTGCATGACCTTTTACCCATGTTATTACGACTGTTCCATCTTCTCTTATTTTCTTAATGTTTTTATGAATATTTGCAACTATTGGGTGAGTATTACTGCGGTTACATATTGATTGAATTGATGACATACTATCTGTGAAAATTTTTATATTTTTGATATTTCTCTTCAAAGACCACGTACAAGCTCTATCGATGGCAAAAAGCTCTGCCTGAAATACAGTGCAGCTATCATGTAATTTAAATTTTTTGGTTATTGTATTTTTATTTTTCGATAGAACTACAAAAGAGGCGCCCACTCTTCCGTTCTCCAATTTACTTCCGTCTGTGTATATATTAATTGGTTGTGTAAAATTGTTTGGGTCTTCTTCTGAAGTTTGTAAACTGTCTGGCACTATTTTAACTCTGAGAGCAGGATGTAGAAGATTTTGAATCGGTGTGGGCTTTTCAAGGGTTATATCATCGGGTAGATATTGGGTGATTCCGGAAATTCTAGTGTTTTCTATTTGATTTATTTCTGTAACTTTTAAGTCTAAAGGCATGAACTGGGAAAGTGCTAGCGCAGCATTCGTAGAGATTGTACGGAAGCCTCGGATGGCTTTGAGCGCAAACAAGCGTTGTGTTTTTTCCAACAATCGCTTGCAACTCTTTTTCTTTGCAGCATGGCCCCAAATACCAGCAGCGTATGTGATAATAGGTTCGATAACTTGGTGATAAATAATGCTTATATTTTCAGGTTGAATACCCCAGGTTGGTCTGCAGTAAATACACAGTTTGTGAAATATTTTTATGGCTTTATTTGTGACATATTTAATGTGACTGTTGAAAGTTAATTTTGTATCTACGATGACCCCTAATAATTTTATTTCTTTAACAAACGGAAGCAACATTTTGTTCATCATTAAATTAACTGACTTGGCTTTTGGGGTGAAAGCGATTGCCTGTGTCTTTTCAGGGCTAAAAGAGAGTTTGACTTTATCTCCCCATTGTACAATTTCGCTTAGTGCTTTATTAGTAATAACTTCTAATTCGTTTTTATCGTGTGCGTGTGCAATAAGCAATACATCGTCCGCAAAGGCTTGGATGTGACAACCTGTTGGCAACTGAGTTTCCAAAAGTTCGTCGAGAATTAGATTCCAAAGAGTTGGTCCACAAGTTGATCCCTGTATACATCCCTTGGACATCATTTTGGTGACCTCAGTACCTCCGTAGTTCAGTGATACTTTTCTATTTTCTATATAATTACATATTAATCAGAAGATGTTACGAGAGCACTGAATGTATCGGAGTCTGTGAAGTAAGGCGGGCCACCAAGCGTTATCAAACGCTGCCTTGATATCCAAGGAGATGGCTATTACCTGTTGTTTGTTCTCTTTAGCTTTTTGGATGGTTTTTATGGCATTGGCAATAGCTGCAGTTGTGTTAAGTTGCTCTTTGAAACCAAACTGTCGGTTGCTCATTCTGCCATCTCGTGTAGCCTGGTATTTGATTCTATTTATGAAAAGTTTTTCAAGTAATTTGCCAAACACGGGAAGAAGACCTATTGGGCGGAAAGAGTTTAAATTAGTACAATCAGATTTATTGGGTTTCGGAATGATTTTAACGTATGCGATTTTCCACTGTTGTGGAAAATATTGGAGGGACAAGCATCTGTTCATTATTTCTGTTATAAGTTTTGGATAGGCTATAGAAAATTGAGTGCAAATATCGGCTGTTAGATTATCGATACCAGGAGCTCGTTTGGGATTCATGTTTTGGATGCATTCTATAACTTCTTCTTTAACAAAGGGAGGGTCGTCATTTGTTTTTGGAAATAGTTCGCGATTTTTCCTGAGTTGTTCATGTGCGGGATTAGAGTCTGGACTGTCTTCAGGGTAGAAATGATTTAGTAGTGCCTTTGCGGTTTCTTTTTCATCATTAGTATAGCTGTTTCCTACTTTTAGAGTACTCGGTGAGCAATTAGACTTTGTCTCCTTTAAAAGTCTGTTGGTAACTGACCAAACATTCTCCTTACCTTGCCGTTCACAGAATTCTCTAAAGTTATCTGTTGATGTTCTCCGCAGCTCATCCCCGTACTCTTTCTTTTTTCTATTTCTTTCTTCTAACAGTTGGTCCAGGGCAAGCCCTTTGCGTTTGGTATGATGAATTTTATGATGGAGGGAGATAACATCTTTTTTCAGTTTTTCCAATTTGTCTGTCCACCATATGGGTTTACATTGGATGACGTTGTTCTTCATTGGCATGGATGCTCGACAAGCTTCATGGATTGTACTGATAATTTTTGTAATAAAGGATTCTAATTCGTTGGTATTTAATGTGGGAATATCTACGTCTAGGCATCCGTTATTGCACATTTTGAGGTCTAAGACTGCCTTAAACTCTGCCCAGTTAGCTTTTTCACTTTTATACAGATATGTGGATGTGTTTTTTCTTTTTGTGGTGTTAACGTTAAATAGGTTGAGCGTAAATTCAATAGAATTATGTTGAGATGAGGGACAAGCCTCCAGGTTAACATTCCAGCTATTTATTTTCTCGTATATAGACCCTGAGGCAAAAGTTATGTCGATAATAGAGGAGCAATTTCTACCATGTGTGACGGTTTCAAACGTTGGGATGCTTCCTTGGTTGCAAATATACATATCATTTCCTATTATAAGTTCCGCCACTTCGCGACCTCTTTTGTTAGTTGTTTCACAACCCCATAGTGGGTGCCAACCATTAAAATCGCCACATATTATACGATGAGAGTCATTGGTTGATTTAAGAAAGGCGTCTAAGCGCTCAAGTGTTGCGTGTTCATCGTCTCGGGGCTCAACGTATGCTGATGCAATATATAATTTCCTTGTGCCTATTGTCATTTGGACAACGCAGAGGTTAGAAGTTGAAAACTGTGTCATACCTATTAACGTTCCACAATTATTTTTAGCTATTATGCAAGCTTTGACTTTTTGGTCACCTGGGAATTGGTATATGCAAAGGCCTTGTATTGATTTCAT